GCATAACATCCCGGCGTCGTCTGCTGCTTCCTCAGTTTCAACAGCAGTGATACTGCCAAGAACATTCACGAGTCACGAGTACATCTATTGAATTCTGCATCAGAAAACTTAGTTCTTTCGCTTCTGTTGCTGTCTTCGGTATCCCGGTGTGGGTCTGCTAGTCTGGTGGATGACGACTGCATGCTGACCGCACCAGCCGTTTCACGAAGCCAGACGGCGCCGATGTGGCGCTGGTGGATGGTCAGCGACTTAAAAGGCAAGCCGCCGCCGTTAAGCCAGCGCCCGGCATGCAGCGGGACATCTGCGCTGGAACGAAAATGACAGTGTCAAGAGTGAGCGAATTCTGCATCAGAAAACTTAGTTACTTAGTTCTTTCGCTTCTGTTGCTGTCTTCGGTATCCCGGTGTGGGTCTGCTAGTCTGGTGGATGACGACTGCATGCTGACCGCACCAGCCGTTTCACGAAGCCAGACGCCGCCAATGTGGCGCTGGTGGATGGTCAGCGACTCAAAAGACAAGCCGCCGCCGTTAAGCCAGCGCCCGGCATGCGGCGGGGAAATGCGCGAGATGTGGGAGAGTCGAACTATCTTTGTAGCAGAACATCCCGGCGTCGCCTGCCGCTTCCTCTCTAGCGCCTCCTCCTCCTGTGACAACAGGCAGGAATCAGAAGCACGCATCAGTGCTGGCAGAAACTTCGTTCACGCCCACGCCTCCCGGAGCTTGCGCTCTGCGGCCTCCTGTGCCTCTCTTTTGGCCTGCTCGGCCTGACAAAAAGTTTCACCCCCTCCAGTTCAAAGGATGCTGGGATGATGAGAGGCACAGGTGGATCTGTGGCAGTGGCTTTGATCTTCTCGAGCTCGATGAGGGCCTTTTGCAGGCGACGGTGGAACTCCTGCGACCGGGCGTAGGCTCGCAGACTTGGCTTTTAGCACAACTTTGGCACAAACAGATCGGCCCAGATCCCTGCATTTCAACTCCTCCGAGGTTTCGAACCACATGCGGCTTTTCCGCTCCAATCCTCGGCAAAGGCGAAACATCTTGGAGGGAATGAGTCTCAAAGCCTCCGGTATGGCACACGGCCGCTCAACCGCACGAGATTGATGTGCATACCTACGTAACAATATATGTAAGCCCATGTGTATGCGTGCATGAATAAAAAAATAAACCAATAAAGACATAAATCTGAATAAATAAACAGACAAACACATAAGCATATAGACATTATATATATATATATATATATATACCTATTCAGTTTTCTGTGTATGTACAAATATCTACGTATCTGTCTGCGTGTGTTGTTTATGCACAACACATGCACGCCTTCTTCGCCCTGAGCATGCGGATGTTCATGGGTTTTGTGCTCCACGCGCAAACCGAGCGAGCGAGTGACGGAGGGGGAGAGTGAGGAACGGGAGCAGGCTGCCAGACTTTGCCGGGACTCGTCGGATGTCCTCCTGCAAGGAGGGCCTTTTCCTCACCTTGTGTCTCTGAAAGTTTAAGTCTTCACGGCAGAAGAACTGGCATATTACTGTCTTCTGAGATTCTCACAAGCTCTCTGTCGTGGTCGCCTCGGAGAACTACGTGACAAGCGGACGCATAGTTTGTCACAGTTGCTATCAGCATGCTCAAACGACAATGTCTGTGACGGTCAGTCGATGTCAAGACAGGGCTGGGTTTCCCGGCTGAGGTTTTTCTCCGGAGCCTTCGACAGGCGGTCAAGCCGCTTCAGCTCCTCGGTATCCGTAGCCGTCGCGGACATCCCTCAACTGCTGCCCCGGCCTGATCCAGCGGGTAGAAGTCTTCCAGATTCTTCACTGGGTGGGTGATCCCTTTGGACTTCCCCCTGACAGTCAAGGGCAACGCACGTGAGGCCAGCAAATGCGTCAGCGGCATCAAGGCCCAACGCCGCCCGGCCCAGCCGATCCCCATCTCAGCTTCCGACACACTTACTAACATGGTCTCGACCTTCCTTAGAATTCAGGAGTGACGACGCATGCTGTGGCAGCGGATTGCCACTAACTCCTAAGACCCACGATGCCCGAATACAGCTGAACATGCTTCAGCTTCTCACAGCTGATCCCCGTCCCCGAAGGCGCAAGCTCTTCTCTCTTCGCTTGCCGAGCGTCTCCACAGTCTTGGTCTTTCCTGCCTCCTGCAGAGATCTGCAGAGCAGAAATGGGGGTTTCCGAAAATTAGGGGTACCTTATTTTGGGGTCCTTATATTAAGGATCCTATTATTTAGGGTACTATATTAGGGTCTCCTATTTTCAGAAATCCCCAAATCGGAGTTCCCGGGTCCGGGCCCTACGAAAGCCGCGCCTTGGCTGCAGTCCGCCGCGCGGCGAGCTGCTCCTGTAGGACCGGCCGCTCCTGGCTTTCGCTACAAGAAAGGGTCTCACTGCAAAGAACTGTCCTTTAAAAATCTTAGCCAAGGGAGGCAAGTCGTCGGTGGCGAAATCGCAAAAAACTTAAGATTCCAACTTGCCTCCCTTCGGACCCATTACTCAGAAGTTGTTCTAAGCCCGAAGCTCAACTGAAAACCCATCCCACGAAAGTGCGACTGCGCACAACAGATCGGTTGCCTGGATTCCCTCTTGTGACTCGGTCCCCCTCTCTTCCTTGTTTCAATGATCCCACGCACTTAGTTGCCCAGCTCAAAAAGTAACGAGCGAACCGGTCGGAGCCAGGCTCTGCTAGTCGGAGCAAAGTATACGACACACGTTTCCTGGGGCAATTGTGGTCTTCCGCACACGAGCTCAGTTGTAGAGTGCCGTCGTTTGGCACCTGTGCAGCTTGCTGATACCTTGCCTTCTAGGGCCGCACCACTTGGATTCACACTTCTGCATGGATTCAGGTGCCTTTTCGGTCAGGTGAGGTAAGCTGTCGTGTTGCGAGTACGAGAGATCAGCCATCAAGACATCATCTCCCCTTTATGGCGGGTTAGCACACATAGCGCACGCTCCGCGTGCAATGTCAAGGAGTCTTTGCTTCGTGGATGAGATCGTCGCGGATCTTCATGATCCACATTGTGGTTGTTGTCGCCGTCGTCGTTGCTATTCGTGCAGTGCTGTTGATGCTCTTTTCTCATCTTCTTCTCCTTCTGATTGTTGTGAAAGGCTTAGATCGGTGGGCCTCGACGGTGAGGCGACCTTCGTCGATCATCGCTTGCACCGCGCCGGTGAGAAGCTGGATCTTGTCCTGCTCGACAGAAGGTGACTCAAAGGTTTTGGGGTTCCGATTCGGTATTTTGGCGACATCCTGGTTGCAATGCGAATGGCCTTGGGTTGGTCAGGCTCTACAACTGGGGGCTGATCGAAATTCAGACTTTTCTACGCTGCCAAGCAACTTTCACCGGCAAAAACCGCACCGCAGAGACCCCCTGCGTCCCGGAGGCCAGCAACGGAGCCTACGCGCGCTTTTGTTAGTCATATCTGTAGTCAGTTGCCTCTCATCGCATTGTGGTGAGAGATGGGCATGCGGGGCGGCTTTGCTTGTCCTGAAGGTCTTGGCCGAGGTACTTGTTGATCAGCTCATGCTCCTGCCGGGTGGACGGCGGCGACAAGGCGAGAGCAAGATGAGGACCTGCAACTCCCGTCCTCCGTTTCCATCTTTCCCTTCACCTTGCCGACTGCTTTCACCTGGCTTTAGATTAAGCAACGAAACTCTTTGCCTCTCGCCCCTCTCGGCTCCACTCGCAAACAAAGGCAGGGTCACCATGTACAGCTTCTCCTCGGCAGCCTGAACCTTTTTCAAGAAGTCCTCTGCAAGCCCCGCACTTTATAGCCACGTTTGCCAGTGGTCAGTGGCACTTCTGCTGTGTGCGTTTCATGAGAAAGTCCTCACCTCAGCCCCCCATCCCACAAGAAGCCACCTTCATGCCGTCCAGCAGGCGCTTCTTTTCCTCGGCTCCCGTTCCATCTTAGCACTCTCTCAACAAGTCCAGCCTGAAGCCCAACCCAAGCGGCGTGACTTCTGACTACAAGAGCACCCTGTCATTGCAACGTTCGGACTCTGCCACATCTCCAGTGCACCCGAGCTTCGGTGTATCCGGGCGCGTTGGCCTCGACCGTCTTCAGGAGATCCTGTGGTGAACCGATGATACATGTCATGCTCCGCACTCCACTGGCAAGGTCCCCAGGTGACGCTGGGCAGGCAGCGTATAATACGGTTTTGCCAGAATTGGGGCGCACTGGAAGCTGCAAGATGAAACTGGCTTCAAGAGAAACCCGGAAGTCCTGCGGCTTCTTGTCTTGAGCTGCCAGGGCCTGTCCGGGGCAGGAGCAGTCTGCACAAGGTACCGTAACTTGCCAGTTCCGTAACAAAGGTCAACATGAGCAAAGCATGGTCAGCAACAGCTCACCGGCACCGCAATCACTGTCGCTACCGAAATCAACACCCTAAACCCTAAACCCTGAACCCAAAACCCTAAACCAACATCATCATCGTCATCAGCAGCCTCAGCTCCCACACCATCAGAATCACCCCTCTCTCGCCATTGCCATCGTGGAGGGGCAGAGGTCAGGACGTGTTTGCCGTCAAACATTTTCGCATTGAGGGGTCGGACCAAATTCTCACGATTGGCGTGACGGTCAGACTCACGCAGTACTGCTGCTTCAACACTCTGCTTGCTTTCCGGACGCGCCTGGAAGTGCTCATCTGAGAATATTTCATTCTCAGCTTCAGCCATGTTGCTTCACAGCTGTGCGAATTGAAGCTTACTTGCGAGGTAGGCTGTGGCTCTGACAACAATCCCTGGTCGTTTTCTCTACCAGTGCATCATAAGAGTTAACGACCTCAGCCTCCCTTGCTAGGGCTCTCGCAGTTCGGATCTCTCGGAGGAAGACTTGAAACCATTTAGGTCAGTTAGGTTGTTGGCGCAGACGTCTTGAACCGAATCGGCAGAAGGAATGTGTGGCTTAAACCTCCCCCTCCGCTCCGGCACCCTACATTGCACTCTGGCAGCGGCAACCTGCAACACACCCAGACAGGCAAGCAAACCTCTTGGAGCAGCGTAGGGTTCTGCAGGTCCATCTCGTTCGTGTCGCGATTGAATGTGCCCACGATCTGCGAGGGCGCATATCTGCTAGCAGCTAGCAGAGACTTGAAGCTGGCAGTCTTGCCTCCTCGGTCTCTGGGTCCAACCTGAGCTCCCAGGCCCGACGCGGCAGTTTTCCACGACCAGTCGGGGCCGCTGCAATCGCTGGTCCGGGAGCAAAATGTAGGTCCGACCCAGGTAGGAGATGGCCTTGGGACACACCCGGAACTGACCCCGGTGGTCTGCGGCTGCGGTGTTTGAGCAGTCCAAGGCGCTGGATATGGGCAGCCAGGCATCATGCCGGCAGCAGGGTCAAGGCCTCAAACACTTCGCCGTCGGAGCTGCCGTTTTGGAGGACCAAGCAACGCTGTCACAGCAAGATGGCTGAGCCCTTTACGCTGAGTGTCGGGGTTCCAGATGCCCATGGGAACCTGTCCCGATGCTTTGATCAAAGTGCCAGATTCATTCTCAGCCAGGTCACGACATGCGAAGCCCAAGATCTCTCAACCCCAATCCACCTGGTTCGGCGGATCAAAGAGCACACCGTTTGGAGCCATGGTATAGACCTTGCCTCGGCAGGATCACTCGGATGTTTGCAGATTCGCTGCAAGCTGCCAGGCCAAAGGCAAAGAAGTGCAAGCTTATCCTCCTGACACATCCTACTTGGAGGTTCACGTGTAGTTATAAGTGGGGTTATAAGTCCCCTAACATGGGTAATAAGTTATCTAAGTTCTGAAGGTAT